CAAAATTCACATTTAATATAAAGTTATTGAGCGGTGTAACACTTAGTAAAAGTTACACCAGTGTCGTTTGAACCCTCCTCTCGGTGTCGTTTGAACCCTCCTCTCTCTTAATTCAAACGACACCGAGAGGAGGGTTCAAACGACACCAGTGTAACTTTTACTAAGTGTTACACCGCTCAATAACTTTATATTAAATGTGAATTTTGAAAATCCAACCGTTAGATTGAAAGTTCATTACTATTTGATCATATATATCAATTTTTTATATTAATATAAGATGATTTGATAACTAAAATATGAACACTTTGATTACCTTCAAGTTGTTGTTCAATTTTAACAAAATTTGATATATATGATCTAATAGTAATGAATTTTCAATCTAACGATTGGATTTTTAAAATTCACATTTAATATAAAGTTTTTGAGCGGTGTAACACTTAGTAAAAGTTACACCAGTGTCGTTTGAACCCTCCTCATATATATATATATATATATATATATATAAAGTTAGCCATGCACAACATCATTATAGGACAGAGACATTCCAACAATGTTGATACCTCAAAGCCTACCATTCATTTGCAGCAATCCAAATATATAAAATAAAATAAATACAAAGTACATGGGGGACCAGACCAAAACTCGAGAGAAAATTAACAAAATCGAAAAGAAGGAAGACCACAACGGCTATGGAAAAACTTGTTGGCGTTATTTTTGCCGAGGGTTATAACTTTGTTATTTTTATAAGATTATTTCACATACAACTCCACAATAATGAAATATTGTCTGCTTTGGACCTAAATCTTCACGATTTTACTTTTGGTTACTACCCAAAAGGTTTCTCAATCATTGAAGTATGTGTGTGCTTTATAAGTTGTTATTTATTCTCTTATTTTATCGATATGGACCTTATTTGTATCGCAACAAAACTCGGATTGAATAGAAGATGACAAAGTGTCCCACCAAACAAAAGCACTCTTATGAGCTAAACTATATGTTACCAATCTACCAACACAGTGATTACCTTCTTTGAAGAACTTAATCCAAAGAAGTTAGTTCAACTAAAGATCTTTTAAAAAAAATCTTAATAATTTAACCATTTTATTAGCAATTAATATTACTTCCATCTTCTTCATTTTACAATAGTTACTTCCATTTTGGAAACTATATATTTAAGGAAAAAGAAGTTAAAAATGACTAAATTATACTTTTGGTCTTTTATCTTATTTGTTAGATTCATTTTGATCTTTTATCTTTTAAAATGTTCATTTTAGTTATTTATCACTTAAATTTGGACCAATTTGATCTTTTTGAAACAATGATTATTTTTAATATTGAGACATAATTTTTGGTCATTTTTTTATTCATTTAAGACTTGAAATTTGTCCCATTAGATTCACTTATATAAAAATTATTGAATGTTATTAAATTTTAAATAAAAAATATTACAAATATGGTAAAAGTTGCATAAAAATAAGTCTGAAAGATAATTATTTGTTTAAAAAAAAAATACTATTTTCTAGTTATTTGTAGGTAGGCATGACAATCTAACCCGTCCCCGTGGGTACCTGCCCGAACCCGCCCCGATTTGGACGGGGAAAACCCGTGTTTATCGGGTTCGAGTTTTCCCCGATTGATAAAATTGGGGGCGGGGGCGGGGACGGGGATGTTAATACCCACATAATATAATTAAAAAATTATTTATATATATATATATATATAAACCAAAATTAAAAATATTTATATGTAAAAATTTATATTATTTTTTTTTTCTTTTATTTTTTTAAAATTGTTAATATTTATTTAAAAGAAAAAAAAAAGAAGAAAAAAAAATTAGAGCAGGGGCGGGACAGGGAAACCCGAACCCTGCTGGGGGCGGGGATGATGACCTACATTTTATCCCCGGCGGGTATCGGGGGCAAGGGCGAGAACCCGCCCTCGCCCCGCCCCGTTGCCATGCCTATTTGTAGGACATATTTTTCACACAATTTTCACTATATTAATAACATGTTTAGATTCAAACTTTAATTAAATTTTATAATTTTTATATTATTAAATATAATATTATAAATTTTACATTTTGAGTTATTCAAAATTTGATTCAAAATTTTATTACAATATTAAAAATTGTTATCATTTTAAAAGAATAAAAATTGATTCAAATATTAGAGATAGAACCAAAATAACATTTTAACAAATGAAAAATTAAAATAAATCTAAAATAAAAATTAAAAATATAATTTAGTTCATAAAAGTAAAAAATAAAAAATCAGACAGTCTCACACTACCTTTTTCACTCTCTATCTAAGGATGGACTTTTTGCTATCCAAATTGAAGTATAGGAGTTAAGAATTTGAACAAATCCGCTGGCTTTGTGTTTTTCCCCCACAAAAAACACGTGCTTCAAACAAAAAATAACATATTATCACGACTGAAATTTTAAAATTAAAAAAATAATAATAATTAGGAAGATAAAGACCACATGGTCTCTCACCTCTTTCTCAGACCATAGCAGATTCAAGGAACATGCTTGGAAAACTGCTAAGCTTCCCCATATTCTCCCATTCCAAACAGGGTTCACCATTCCCACCATCAAAGAGATCATTTATAAACAAATATCCAATTACACAGATTTTCCTCTCAGAAATTCTTTGTGGGGTGCTCTCAAAAAATGTCAAGCCTCCCCAACACGCCGTCGGAAGCCCGCAGGTCCGGCAAGGCACCGGAAAAATCCACTTTTTCTCAGACTTGCAGCCTCTTGAGCCAGTTCTTGAAAGAGAAACGTGCTTCTGCTGATTCCACTCTTGGAATGGGTGCCAAAATTGAACCTAGAGGTAAAGTTCAATTTTTTTAATATTTTTTCTATTTTAATTTCTCCTTATGGAATCTTATTTTATTGCTATTTTTATAATATTGTTATTTTCCTTGGCCACCAATTTTTTTATTGTGTGATGTGTTCCCCATCTAATTTTTGTTGTGGGTATGCCGTGTGTCACACAATTGATGGTTTGGTATGGTACTGGGAAATTGTTTGGCTTAAATGATTGCATAACTGAAGTGTCTATGAAATTGTATAGCTTGTGACGAGAATTTCTGATGGGGGTATTGTTTGTTTGGTTTGGATTTGGATATTCCAGCTTGTACCAAGGATTTGTTAGGCAGCATGCAAAACTCAGATGGGGCTTTGAGACTAAACGCTTCTGCCATGGATTCTCTCCCCCAGCTTGTGGAAAATCCCTGCATTAAGAAGTCTAGGTGTGTTACTTTTTTTTTTTTTTTCTTTAATTGTTCTGAATTCTAAGCCATAATAAAAAAGGTAGCAAAAAGTGTTTTCTTTTTGTTATTTTCTTGGGATTAGTTTAGGGAATGTTCAAAAATTAAAATGACTCATTCTTCCATCATATGTATAGGCTGGGAATGGTGATACCCTTCTATTTTGAAGGATATGCAAGAAAAATTAAACTAGCGTTTGTGCGGATCTAAATCGTCTCTAGTTGATGACGATCTTTGTCATACAGAATAATTTGCTTTATAAAAAGAACTTGAGGTTTTGGAACCCTTTATCAGCATATGTACCTAGATCTGTTTGGTTTATGGGCATGTGGGTGTGGATGTTACATCTTTTATACTTCACCTCCCAAATTTGATTAGGTTCATGTATTCATGATGTTCTTATTTTTATTCTTTTCCTGTAGTTCACCGGGACCTGAATCTCCCCAATTGACAATATTCTATGCTGGAAAAATGTTGGTATTTGATGCTTTTCCGCCGGAGAAGGCAACCGAGGTCATGGAGATGGCCACCAAGTTAGCCTCGGACAGCTCCGGAACCGAAGAAAGTCTCCCTAGTGATCCAGTTACCACTGAAAAATTGGCTGTGCCCGATGTGCCTCAAAAAAGCCCTTCTTCAGAAACCCCTAAGCCAGGAAACCAAGGGGTTGGTTCAGGTAAATTGGAAACTAAATAGGAAACATTTCTCTCAATTATGTGTGTGCAAGTTTTCATATGCTAATTCTTGGTTGCAACTTCTTTTGTCAAAACAGATATGAGGTATCCAAGGAGAGCTTCACTTCTTAAATTTCTTGAGAAAAGAAAAGAAAGGTAAGGGATCTGTTTTGAGTGCTTTCTACTTGTTAAATTTATTTATGGAAAATGCTAATCTGTGCCTCAAGGAGGAGGATGTTTGTTAAAGAAGTAAAATTAGTATGTTTTTGTTGTAAAATATTAATGTGTTGAGTACACTTCATTGACATTCCTGAGGTTTCATGAATTTATCTTTTTAACGTTTACAGTTACTTTCCTTATGCTGTCATTTTATAATGTTTTAAAGGAGTTGATGTAACCTCTAAGAGGTACTAGTGTAATGTTTTCCAAACACTTAAGAAAAATTATTGTAAGGGTAGAAAAAGTACCGAGTGTTTGTGTAATTTCACAAATCTTTGAGAGGTGTCTGTCTAATTTACTCTAATATATTTTGACCATTATTTTTCAATAAAAACTGTGATTGGTGAACTGGTTAGTATAATATTGTGACACTAATTAACATGACCCTTTATTCATTTGGTGATATTTTGGTTGCTTAAAGGTAATTAATTAGTTGAATGTTGAATTGTTGCAGGGTTAATGCTAGAGGGCCTTACCAAATCAACAACCACAAGGCAGAGGGAAGCAGTTCAGGGGGTGAACCTGAAGATCAGTGTTCCAAACACTTTGACCTTAACTTGTAGTGGTTTAGCTCGTCATGAATTTAGGGTATACAGCCTCTGGCTAGCCAAAAGCTCCTAACTATATGATTGTGGGCCTTTTGAATATTGCTGTGGCCTTCATACGTATTTATCATATATATAATATTTGTATGTATGTATTATTATCATTTTATCAATTAGGTCCCTTGCTGGGGACCAAACCAGAGAGATAAATTAGTTTTATTACTGAGATTGATTAGTTTCAGAAAATTTCAAGTACTTGTGTGCATTAATTTGATCATTTTTGGTGAATACAACTCCTTTTAACAACTGCTCCTTGTTCATATGCTTAATTCTTGTTTGGTTGGTGTCGTACGGGTGAAAGACTTGATTTCAAGTTTCAACACTTTTTCTGGTAATTTCAATATAAGCCTTGCAATAATTGGATTCAAATTTTTTTTAAAATTATTATTTGGGTTTCATAATATGGGGAAAATTATAAGTACAATTCATTGCTCACGGGTTTGTATATTCCACTCTATTTTAAAATTATATTGAATTTTCTATTTTATATGCACCTGAATAAATTAGTCAATGGGAATATAAACATATTTTATTAAAAATAAAGTATTTATTATATTAAAATATGAACTTGTTTAATATTTATTTTCTAGATAATCATAAGTATTTAAGATGATACATTTAATGTTATTTTAATTTATGTACTTGATGAATAGGATAAAAAATTTCAAATATATTCATGTAATTGTTATTTTGGATTTTAGTTAAAGTGTGTTTGGGTTATAAATTATTCAATTAATTTTGGTGCAATATGATTTCATAAACTTATATCTTAGTACAAACAAAAGTGAATACTTGTTAAGATATATATTTTTTTAATAAAATAGTTTCGTGCAGCGTAATTGTATCTCCAACATGGAAGCTTCAGTTAAATTTATCTCATGTTATTTATTGTAAGTTAAATTTTTTGAATAGACAATGCTATGTGTGGGAATAATTTTGAAAAAGTATAAGAATGAAGTATATAATTTCAAAACATTTCAATAAAATTTGTTCGCAGACAAATTAGATATGTCATTAATTAAGCATGTGTCACATGTTTTTATTTTATTTTATTATAATTTGTATTTATTATTTAACTAATCTTACTCTTTAACAACCCAATTTCATCATGGTGTCAAAAAAATAAAATCACTTTCATCTCATGATTTCTCCTTATCTCTCTTGCATTTTCTATCATATATCGTAGTTATTATTTTCTCTATCTATGTTTTTCTTTCTATTTATCACGTTCCTCCATCTCAATTCACCCCGGGTGAATGTATGCTTTCAACTCAGGATTTTGTTATAATTAATATATTGTTTTAAATTAATTTTCTCATTTCTTCCCGATAATTACTTAATTTAAATATAAAATTACCCACTATAAATAACGTCATATCCTTCGATTTTTATTATAAAAACTGATTATTTTAGATAATATAAACAGAATAGATAAAATTAAAATCATGTTCATTTAATATATTCAAATATACAACTTATTTCACAAAGTTAATAATTATAATAAGTCAACCTAAATTCCACGCTTAACATGAAACCACTAGAAGCCAAATTAGTGAATATATAAGAAAAATGAATAAAGAAGGAGAATGAAGTATTGAGCGAATGAAATTGCGTGGAAGAACTCAAATATAGCATAATAATAAGAATTAATCACATATACAATATCACAATCACAACCAATCATATCTTTTAAGAGTTAATCTATCAATATAAATTTTTTTATACTGACAATCAATTATATCTTTTAATTGTGCTATATCACTGTAAACATATTTACTTTTAACAGTGACATGACACAATTAAAAAATATAATTGGTTTTTCAGTATAAAAAAACTTTATATTAGTAGTATATAGATTATTAACTCATCTTTTAATAGTGTCATGTTATTTGCTTATTTAATAAATTAAAAATAAAATAAAATAATTAAAAAATATAATTGGTTTTTCAGTATAAAAAAACTTTATATTAGTAGTATATAGATTATTAACTCATCTTTTAATAGTGTCATGTTATTTGCTTATTTAATAAATTAAAAATAAAATAAAATAATTAAAAAATATAATTGGTTTTTCAGTATAAAAAAACTTTATATTAGTAGTATATAGATTATTAACTCATCTTTTAATAGTGTCATGTTATTTGCTTATTTAATAAATTAAAAATAAAATAAAATAATTAAAAAATATAATTGGTTTTTCAGTATAAAAAAACTTTATATTAGTAGTATATAGATTATTAACTCATCTTTTAATAGTGTCATGTTATTTGCTTATTTAATAAATTAAAAATAAAATAAAATAATTAAAAAATATAATTGGTTTTTCAGTATAAAAAAACTTTATATTAGTAGTATATAGATTATTAACTCATCTTTTAATAGTGTCATGTTATTTGCTTATTTAATAAATTAAAAATAAAATAAAATAATTAAAAAATATAATTGGTTTTTCAGTATAAAAAAACTTTATATTAGTAGTATATAGATTATTAACTCATCTTTTAATAGTGTCATGTTATTTGCTTATTTAATAAATTAAAAATAAAATAAAATAATTAAAAAATATAATTGGTTTTTCAGTATAAAAAAACTTTATATTAGTAGTATATAGATTATTAACTCATCTTTTAATAGTGTCATGTTATTTGCTTATTTAATAAATTAAAAATAAAATAAAATAATTAAAAAATATAATTGGTTACCGTGTAAAAAATTTTACACTAATAATGTATGGATGATTTAACTCGAATAATAAATAGATTACGTGAAACAATAATGCAACGTGAAAAATGAGGATCCACCGACTATGAAATGTGGATGCAAGTTGTTGTTTTGTCGCGATTGTGGAATGGCAAAGAGCACTACTATCCCTTTTCCTTTCTGGTCCTCAAGTTTGCTAATTTAAACTATTCATAATTTTCAAAATTAAAAGTTGCAAAACCGATGCCACTTCCAATAAAACTATGAACATATTCACATGTATAATTCTTTTCTACGTCATCTTCATTTCTCTTCTTAATGCAATATTCCCAAAACAGCTTAAAGTTATTATAAAATCTAGAAAATACTTTGAATATTTATTATTATTATTATTATACTATATATGCAAATGAAATTACTATTATTATTATTATCTGTACGGGTAGGGAGGTCGGCCACCACCCTGTCGGCCATTGAATGGCAGAATCAGGCAGCCGAATGCCAATCGGCCACCTGGATCGGCCTATCGTCACTTATTACCTTTAATCAAGTAATTAGGGATTAATTAGTTGATTAGGGTGTATTACCTAATACGGTAAGTATGCTGCGAGGCCCATGGGGTCCGGGCCCATAAATGACAGTATAAATAGCTCAGGACAAAAGGTAACGTCACTGTTCATTAATTATCCTAGAGATTCGAGCTTGTCCTGACTTGAGCGTTGGAGTGCCTTTTGCAGGTACCAACCCCCTCTTCAGCGTATCGGATTATTGGATCGGGAGTCTCGTTCGGCCTTCGAACTACAAGAAGACTTAGTGTGCCCTTCAGACAGGTACATTTGGCGCCCACCGTGGGGCCGAACCGAGACGATCTTAGAAGATTAATCGAGCAAAACAATGGCGATAACAAGGAGGACGAACACGGTAGATCAGCAACACGAAGAAGAACATGTCGAGGTGGTGGATGAAACCAACCTTTCTGAAACCGTACGTCTATTGAAACAAGAGATGGAGGCTATGAAACAACAGCGAGAAAAAGACGCTAAGGAGCTTTCGGCCTTGAAAGCTGAGAATGAGGCACTAAGGAATCAAGACACCTCATGGAAACCTACTCAGGTCACCAATACGCAAACCCAAGGGTCGCACCAGTCCCATACGATCCATACATCGGTCCCTTGTGCCTCGGCAGTAGCACCTGAAAAGCACCCCTCGGCCTTACCCATTGTCGGTCGGCCTGCAGACTTGACAACCATCGGCTCACACCGACACCCTTTCACCCCCTCCATAATGCAACTCTCTCTTCTGGACAATTGGAAATCTTTACCCATTGATAAATATGATGGTACCACTAATCCTGATGAACACCTTGATGTTTTTCTTACGCAGGTAACCCTGAGTACTACGGATGATGCTGCATTGTGTCGCATTTTCCCCACATCCCTTAAGGGTAGGGCGTTGAGCTGGTTCACTCGGCTACCCCCTAACTCGATCGACTCATTCAATACTCTGTCATCTCAATTCACAGTTCAGTTCGCAACTAGCCGTCCTCATAGCCTGACATCTTTGTCGTTGGTTAGCCTTCGGCAAGATAAGAAAGAATCGCTGCGGACGTTCATGGATCGGTTCAACAAGGCAGCCTTGGAAATCCGAGATCTTAACCCGGCGGTAGCACTTCATCACCTGACGACGGCTTTAAAACCAGGGCCATTCGTCAATAGCCTATGCAAGAAGCCTCCTTCAGATATGAATGATCTGCGCAGAAGAGCGGATAAATATATGCAAATGGAGGAGTTGGCCGAATTTCGAAGTCAAGCTCGGGCTGACCAGCCGGCCAAACCCGAGAAGCCAATCGAACATACATACAGGGGGCGAGGCAAAGAAATAGCTCTTCGGGACCGACCCGTGCGAGGTCCCAAATACTCCAATTACACCCCTCTTAATGCAAGCCGGGCAGCGATACTGGAGCAGGCTTTGGCAGCAGAAGTGTTGGCGGTTCCAAAGAGAGCTTCCACTCCGCCACACGCCGAAACCAGCAAAACCTGTAGGTATCACCGAAATCGCGGACACTCAACGGAAGAGTGCTCTCTCTTTAACCATACATACGGTTAAGTCATAGCCCAGGGCAACGCAGCCTTTCCCAGTTTGAGGTTATGGCATATATATAGTCTTGTAGAATCTTCCTGTTGTTGAGCTTAGGAGAGCTTGAAAACTAAAGGAGTTTTGATGATCACAACATAAGTGTACAACAACAACTTACAACTTGGAAGCACAAAAACAAAGTCAAAGAAAAGTCAAGAAAATGCTATGTAATGGAGCAATGTAATAGAGTTTAGAAATTAAGTTGTTTTGAATGAGTTTTTATATTGTGTGTGCTTAGTATGCTTTGTGCATAA